CTTTTGCGCTCGCTGTAAATATATTAGGTTTTTGCGCTCGCAAATTTGCTGTTCGCCTTTTGACTAAAAAATTTCTGTGTTTGTGTTCTGCGCACAGGTTTTGTAGGAAAAGTTTTTCTTCTCAGGCCATCACTTGACTTTGTTTTAGTACCATTTGCTCTAGAAAAAGTTCAAAAGTTCTGAAATAAATACATGAAGCTTTGATTTGCTAGGGGCATTTCTCACACAAACAGTTTGAGCAAATGTGCAAAAATGTCTATTATTTCTTCTTTTTTATTGAAATTGTAAGAAAATGTAGGGGAATTATGTGTAGATTGACCCGCACTAATCATTTTAGTCATAACTTTTTATGGAATAAAGATAAATGCACACTTGATATACCATTTGAAAGGGAGCCGAAAAAGCTACAATTTGATTAGGAAATTCATTAGCTATGGTTATAAAAACAAAATATTTCGGTCAATTTTCTAAGAGGTCTGATTTTTGGCAACAAATTTTTTTCTCTGTAAGTTGACCCACCCAATTTTTTTAAGAAATAAATGGTCTTACCGTAGTAAGACGAACTTTTTCGCAGTGGGATCCAAATACTCTCTATATTCAGTGATCTGTTTCACAATAAATCCAAATAATAAATAATAAAATTACAAATAATTTATCAAAACATACAGAACTATTTCAAATGGTTTGATTTAAAATCAGATCTTTCAAATGAAAGTCATGTTTGTATTCATTCGTATAAAATTTAGATATCGATGAATAAAAAAATTATTTCTTAATATTAAAATGCCCTTCAAAACTAGTGATATTTAGAAATTATCGCGTCACGGCTTTTGGAAAAATGCTCACATGTTGGATTAAAATGAATTCAAACGTTTCTTTTAACTTTCATACAAAAGTGGTATTTTCCAAGGGATTTGGAACGAAAATGTAGAAATGATACCAAAGCCGTAGAGAAATAAATATTATGTTATTCAAATAGCACTGTTATTTTATAACAAAGACTGGAGTTTGCGAGATGAAATTTCTGAATCGTATGCGTTTTGCAAGCTTTATGCACAAAAATTCTATTCCAAGTGAGTTGAAAATATCACCGCGAACAATTGCATTTTTGACCCCATTGAGACTTCAGATACGGTGGATTGAACTGGAAATCGATTCTTCATAAAAAATTAAGTGATATATAGTTGCCAATAATCTTTATAAGGTGGTTAGTTTGTGAGCTATGACCGATTTTGTACGCAAAGTGTGACCATTTCGGAAATTTTCAATATTTTCACCTACAAATTCGAATTTGATACTGAAATCATGGGAAAATGATATAATCTTGCTCTCTAATTCTCAATATTTTGATGAAATAATAGCAGTTTGATATGATGAAAACCATGTAGGGGGGCTATTTTAGGTATCTTCCATAGAAAAGTATGAATTTTCAGGGATTTTCAAAGGTTGGCCATAGGCTAGGTTATCCTAGGCTATATCTGAAGTGGGTGAAAATCTAATGGTTTCTAAGTCTAAACAAGCCCAAACTTTTGCCATCACCAGATCTCATTTATCTCGACTGGTCGTTGAGCTATCGTGTTAACAAATTACATTAAAAAATTTGCGTACAACGTACAACGTACGGCGTGGAACAGACTCACAAAACATCGCTCTAAAACCCATTTTTTCGTGTTCTACGGCATCAAAAACGGATAGAAATCATATTTTTGGGGTGTCTTAAAATTTGGGCCAAATGCAATACTTTTACGCAGTCCACGACATGGGCCTGCGAAGAAGTAAAACATGCAGTATAAACATTCAATATATGAAATTCATTGAATTTCGTTGGATTTTCAATCGTTTTTGGTCTTTACAACTATGAAAAACAATGAAAAAATGTAGAAAAATATAGAAATAGTAAAAAAATACATATTCTCTATTTTTTCATATTTCATCGATTTTTTCGTGTTTTTCAAGTCCAAAAACGATTGGAAATTCATTAAAATTCAATGAATCTCGTATATTGAGTGTTTACGCTGAATAGTTGTCTCATTTTTCTGATTTTTTTTCGGGTGGGTCAACTTACAGAAATGGTCAACATTTCAATATGCACGGAAAGAATTTTGCCATGTAACGATATGTGTGAAATGACTTAGGATTATGAAAATACACGAAAAACTAGTGAAGAAAGCTTATACTCGCTTTGCTGATATCTTTGAAATTGTCTTCTTGATAATGATCCGAAAAAATTTAGTTTTCATAAAAATGATTTTTATTTTGCAAAAAAATTTTATGAGCCGATCCAAGCCGTTTAAGAAGCGTATTCACTCTTGGGAACTACTTTTGTATTGGTTTTTGACGTTTCTAAATCGATTGAGACTAGCCAAATTGACGATTTGTCGGTCAAAATACAAAATCAGCGGGGTGGGTCAACTTACAAAGTGGGTCAACTTACACATACTCCCCCTACTGAAATGACGATATTGCTTGAATAAAAGTGTTCTAGAAGTAGGTTTTAGTGGATCTCAAGGATCGTTCAGAACTGCTCCCGATTCTGGAAGTTGGTTTTGGTGGATCCTCAGAATGGACCAGATCCGATTTGACAATGCCCTGGCCCATCCTGAAGATCCACTTCCAGAACCGGAAGCAGTTCTAAACGATCCTTGAGATCCACCAAAACCCACTTCCAGAACACAAGTTCAGTGTAAATGAACATTTATTTACACGAATTGATAAAAATTGATCGAATCGGACCGAACGGAAGAAATTTTCCAAAATTTATAAGAATTCATTCATTCTTTTCGTGTGAAATGCCCCTAGTTGATTTGTGATTCAGTACATTTTGAACTTTTTCTAGTACAAATGGTACTAAAATGGATTTTAGTGCCAAATATCATATTGCGGTTCTAAAAGTTAGAACCAACGTGTTTACTGTGTATGCGTCGAATATAGTATTTCTCCAAATACAAACACTTTAATATAGTGCAATAAAGAATGAAATGGGTATTCTGAAACTTTTTCAAACTAATTTACGATTCCATGAATTTTCACTCACCCTTGGATTGTTTAAAAATGTGTGATATGCCCCAACATTCATTGAAACCTCCACTATTGAGTTCAAAGCATTTGAAACAATTCCTAGATATCTACCATCTCGAGTCACGAGAGGTCCACCACTGTCACCCTGATTAAAGTTACGTCTTCCACTTTCTAAATTGAGACAAATTTGAGATTTTCCATCAAACAAGAGGTTACCCAATACGCGCGACGCAGTTTCCTCTTTACATTTTGCAAAATCCTTAACGCTTGCTGGAACATATCGTAGCTTACTGTACGCGATTTGCTTATGTTCTTCATCAAATTGTGTAAATCCTAGTACGATAACTGCTTCACCATCCAATGGTACATAGTTTTCGGGAACAAGTTCTGCTTTGCCAATTTTTGGATTTGTAAAATCCAATGGTTCTTCAAATTCAAGCACGGCGATATCGTGATGAAATACCCCTTTAGTATAGTTGGGATGGATCATGATGTCTTCTGGTTTGACGTACCTTGTAATATCATATTGGTTTGTATCTAACGAGCCAAACGATAAGACAATTCCACTTGTACGATGGGACATCCGTCGGTCAAAAACACAGTGAGCAGCTAAGAGTAAGCAAAACGTTCAATCTTCAAACTATTGATATTGAACATTCATTATGCATACCTGTTGCCACTCTACGTTCCGAAATGATTGTTGCACCGCAACCGAACTTACCAAAATAGAATAGGCCAGCTACATGATTGTAAAGTTTTATATCGCTAACCCAATCACCACCAACAACTGCCTGTACTTTCTACGGTGAAAAATTGAAGAAATTGAAAATTGAGTATATTTGACAGGGTAAGACGAATATTGTAACGTATTTCTAATGATTTGAGAAGTGATGTAGTATTGAGATGATAGAGTATTTTTGATAGATAAAATTTGACAAATTGAGATAGAAATTTCTCTAAAACAAAGGCCATGGACAATTTTGGCATAAAATTTAAAGGGCCAGCATATCCGCTAGGTATCGTTTCAGTCAGTGATTGCGATATCGCTC